ATAGACAGCATTAAGTAAATAACCAGACCACTGGCTTGACAAGCAAGTTAAAAAGGATTTAAAGACTTAGGAACCCATCTTAATTCACATAAGCTGTTAAGCCCTACTTACTCCAGTGTAAAGTTGAGGTAAAACACTCATTGTGGAGGTGAGGGCAGGGTGGCACTTCCACAACCAGAAGCTTTAACAACTTTGATTAGTAGTTCTGAGTGTGGCCCAGGATCCCTGGGGGTCCCCAAGGCCCAAAGGGTCTGGAGGCCAGAAGTATTTTCACGATACTAAGACATGATCTGCCTTTTTCACACTCATTTTCTCACAGTGTACAGTAGAGTTTTCCAGAGGCGACACGACAACATGTGACATCACAAGAGATTGAATGCAGGAGCAGATATGAGAACCTACCTGTCTTCTATTAAACCAAACATTAAAGAGATTAGCAGAAATGTAAAACAATGCCACTCTTCTCACTAAATACTTTTTGTTTGTTTTGGGAAAATGTTATCATGTGATTAAAAAAAGCGAATGACAATGCTCTAGGAATGGAGCTTTTGGGGCAACTCCAAGTCCATTTTCCTCCCTCCATCCTGCAAGACTGTTGGTTTTCATTGGTACCAGGGAGATGGGGCATGCAGGATAGGAACAAGGCACACTAAAATGCCACAAAGCTCATTCTTACTGAGATTCAGCCATTTTTCGCAAGTAAATGCTCCTCGGATCGTTGCAAGCATTTGGCTAATTTCTAAAGTTCTCAAAAAGTTGATTTGGGCCCCCTGTTTTTTGGGGGGGTTTTGGGCCAGTGTTCTCATTGCTTTCATGTATGGAGGAATGGATTTTTGAAGTCCTTTACTCGGCTGTTCAGAAAATGTCATCCTCTTTCAGCACTTTAAAGATGTTGCTTTAGGGGCTGGCCCCGTGCCCCAGTGGTTAACTTCGCACACTCCACTTCAGCGGCCCAGGGTTTAGCTGGTTTGGATCCCGGGTGCGGACGTGGCACCGCTTGTCAGGCCACGTTGAGGCGGCGTCCCACATGCCACAACTAGAAGGATCCACAACTACAATATACACCTATGTACTGGGGGGACTTGGGGAGAAAAAGCAGAAAAAAAATAAAACATAAAAATAAAGATGTAGGGCCAGCCTGGTGGCACAGTGGATAACTTCGCATGTTCCACTTTGGTGGCCCAGGGTTCGCCAGTTCAGATCCCAGGTGTGGACATGGCACCACTTGGCAAGCCATGCTGTGGTAGGCATCCCACACATAAAACAGAGGAAGATGGGCGTGGATGTTAGCTCAGGGCCAGTCTTCCTCAGCTAAAAGAGGAGGATTGGCAGATGTTAGCTCAGGCCTAGTCTTCCTCAAAAAAAAAAAAGAAAGAATAAAGATGTTGCTTTACTATCTTCTTGTTTGCATTGTTTTTGACAAGAAATCTGATGTCCTTCTTCTCTTTTTCTTCTTTATGTAACATGTCTTTTTTCTCTGGTTGCTTTTAACATTTTCTCTGTATTTTTGGTTTTGAGCAATTTTATTACAATGTGCCTTTGTGTAGTATTTTCCATGTTTCTTGTGCTGGGGTTCATTGAACTTCTTGAATCTTTGGGTTTATGGTTTTCGTTAATTTTGGAAAGCTTTAGGACCTTATTTCTTCATATACTTTTTCTGCCCCCTCTCCTCTCCTTTGGAGATTCTATTTCCCTGCATATTAGGGCTACTGGAAAGTGTCCCACAGCTCATTTATGCTCTTTTTATTTTTTATGTTTCTGATGTTTTCCTCTGTTTCATTTTGTTAGTTTCTATTGCTATGACTTCAAGTCACTAACGTTTTCTTCCACAGTGCCTAGTCCTTAATCCCATCCAGTGTGTCTTTCCTCTCACACTCTCTATTTTTCATCTTTAGAAATTCAATTTGGGTATTTTTATATCTTCCATGTCTCTGCTTAACTTTTTTAACATATGGAGTACAGTTTTAATAGGCTTTTCGGCATCATTCTCTCCTAATTCTAACATCTGTGTCCATTCTGGATCAGTTTCCATTGATTGATTATTATGGGTCATGTTTTCCTGCTTTTTTAAAAAATAACACCTTTACTGAGATATAATTCACATACCACATAATTTACCATCTAAAGTACACAATTCAGTGTTCTTTTTAGTATAGCTACAGAGTTGTCCAACCATCACCACAGTTTCAGAACTCATCTCCCCAAAAAGAAACCCCTTACCCCTTAGCAGTCACTGCCCTTTTCTCCCCAAGCACCTCCTCCCCGCCCTAGCCCTAGGCAACCACTAAGCTACTTTCTGTCTCTGTGGACTTGCCCATTCTGTACATCTCCTATATATGTCATCATACAATATGCGGTCCTTTATGACTGACTTCTTTCACTTAGCACATTATTTTCAACATTCTTCCATGTTGTAGTATGTACAACATACTGCTTCTTTTAATGCCTGGTCATCTTTGTTTGAGTAACAGACATTGGGTAAACAGACATGTTTAGGTGCTGGAGTTTTTATTATTATTATTATTCCTATAAATTTTCCTGACCTTTGTACTGAGATAGTTACTTGGAAGGTTTGATCTTTCAGGGTCTCCCTTTTATGATTTGTTAAGTAGATGTGGAGCAGTACTAAGTCTAGGGCTAATTATTTCCCACAACTGAGGCAAGACCTTCCTGTGTATTCTACGCCCTGTGAACTATGAGTTTTTCCAGTCTGGCTGGGGGGGTGCAGGCATTATCCGCTGCCTGTGTTCCGGGCCCTGTCCCTTCTAATCCGTTTGGTTGGCTGTTTCGCTGGCCTTGGGTAGTTTCCTCATTTGCACGCTCTGATCAGTACTCTGCTGAACCCTCGGGGGGGCCCTCTGCAGCTCTCTGTGGTTCTCTCTTTGTGTAGCTCTCTCCTAATACTCTGTCCTTTGAACTCTAGCTGCCCGTGTCTCTCTGGACTATCTCAATTTAGGGAGGCCACCATGCTCTGCCTCAGTCTCCCCTTCCTGTGCCATAGCATGGAAACTCTCCAAGCAGTAGACTGGGCAATTGTAGGGCTCATCTTGTTTCCCATCTCTCAGAGATCACTATCCTTCATTGCCTGATGTCTACGTCTTGAAAAACACCGTTTCATGTATTTTGTCTGGCCTTTTTTTTGGGGGGGGGGAGGGGTTGGTTGTTTCATGTGAGAGGGCAAATTTGGTCCCTGTTACTCCATCTTGGCTGAAAGTGCATGACTGAGGGGTTGTATTTGTGACACCTTTTGACAGTGGGACCAACAGAGTTTGCCAATGATAACGGAGAAGAACCAGCATGAAATATCTACTCTTTGACAGTGACAGACTGGGTATTACGGTGCCATTTGTTGAGGATGAGGGAGACAGGAGGGTTTTTGAGCCAGGGAAATTTGAGAGAATGAACATGTCAAACAGGCCATAACATATATGAATCTGGTGTTTAGGAAAGAGGTCAAAGTAGAGGTCTAAATTAGTGGATCTTTCAAATATTTGCAATAATGCAGGCTATAAGACAAGATGAAGTCATCTTTGTTGTTAGTGCCATCAAGTTGATTCCGACTCCTAGCGACCCTGCGTGCAGCAGAGTGGAACCATGCTCAGCCTTTTTGCACCATCCTCTCATCTTCCAGCGCTATATCAGACAATGCTCTGCTGCTACTCATAGGGTTTTCATGGACAATTTTTAAGTGGGCAGCCAGGTTCTTCTTCCTAGTCTGTCTTAGTCTGGAAGTTCCACTGAAACCTGTCCACATGGGTGACCCTGCTGATATTTGAAATATTGGTGGCACAGCTTTTCAGCATCACAGCAACATGCAGTGTCCACAGTATGACAACCGACAGATGGGTGATGTGGTTCCCTGACTAGGACATAGGTGGGCAGCAGCAGTGAGAGCGCCAAATCTTAACCGTTAAACCCCCAGTCACCTAGAGAGAGAATATTGGCTACATAAGTAAAGGGGCCAGGATCATCAGGGGCCAAAGATACTCCAATATTTTGAAACTGAATAAAATTGGAGTAGACAGAGATGTAGGAGAAAAGGAAGAGAGTGACAGCAAGAAACTGGAATGTCGTGGGTGGTCATATGAGAGGGTAGAGAAGTGACTGCTGGTTTGGCAAGATTATTATTCATCAGTGATCCGGTTAAGAGCAGTCTCAGAGAGATAGGGTTGACAGAAGCCAAACTGAATTAAGTTAAATATGGTATAGGACACAAGGAAGTAGAGACTGAAGAAAGCCAGAAGATTGGCTTTACTGAGGAGCATAGCAATGGAGTCACGCCTAGAGCAATACATGGGGCCAAAATTCACAACTAAATATGTCCATGGATGTTGACAACATGAAACAACCTAGATGGCCATCACTAGGGGAACAGCTTAAAAACGCAACATTTATTCCACAGAATACCGTGAATCAGTTAAAAAGGATAAATTAAACAGATGTCCATTATATATCAATACATTTCTTTAGAGGCATCAAAAACAATACTTGAAAAAGGGTAAAGGATGGGTGGATTGCATCAACGTCAATATCCTGAATGCAATATTTTACTTTAGTTTCACAACGTTACCTTTGGGGAAAACCGTTAAAGTACATGGGATTTCTTTGTATTATTCCTCAAAACTACATGTGAATTCACAATTATTTCCAAATTTAAAGTTGAATTAAAAAATATTTCCAGTATGTACCTAACTGGGGTCATTTTTTTCCCACAGTAAAACATTTATCCCTCTTGCCGTCAAAAAAAAACATTTTTCATTTTGTAAATAAAACAAAGAGGGGCGGGGGGGATTCCCACCCCTAGCTTCCCCTGGCCAAGAGGACAGTCTCGGCTGTCAAGCTCTCCAGGTCAGGCCCCGCCCCGAGGCTCCTCGGTCGCCTCTCCAGAAGTCTGGGAGGACTACGTATTGCTAACAAGGGCGGCCACTCTAGCCCACCTCGGAGGTCCAAGTCTTGTTAGCCCAGAAGGTTAACGCCCCCAGCTCTGCACGCAGAACCGAGTTGGGGAATCGTCGGCCCGTTTCCGCTCAGCGACGGGGAAAGCTCTCTCGCGCCCACCCGGCCGCAATTCCGTCAGTCATGCCTTTGCGGAACCCCTCCGCCCTGTCAGGATACCGGTGTCGCTCGCGTTTGCTCCTAAGGGCCGCAACCCGGGCGAGGAGGGCTGCGGCCGGGTCTTCCGGCCTGGATGAGTCATTTCCGGTCACAGGCTCCCTCCCCCGGAAGTGAGACCTGATGTAAACACCGGAGCCGGGCGTCAAGGCCCGCGAGGTCAGAAAGCCGGGCCGCGGGCGGCACCGAGAACCTGGGCGGAGATCCGGGACGCGCGGAGGTCAGGTGAGTGCGGGCGGCGCGGACTGGGGCATGATCCCAGAATTGGTTGGGATTTGGAGGAGGGTAGGAGGTCTTTTGAGCAGGAGTCTTGGTGGATGGGGGATCTAGGTCAGGGATCTTGAGTGGGTGCTGGCGTTGGGAGGAGTATGAGGGCGGTCTTGGACATGAGGAAGTGGCGGAGGGGGGCGGTCTGTGAGGCATCCCGGGGCAGGGCTCTTGGGTGGCGTGGGTCTTTGGAATGGGGGCGTGGGGTCCCATAAAAGGGATCTTGGGAGGTGGAGCTGTCTAAAGAATGGGGTCTTTGGGGAGTGAAGCGGTCCGGTGGAGGTGGTAGGAGGTTTGGCACTTGGAGGATGGGGCGGGGGTGTGCCTGGGCAAAGGTCTTGGAGAGATGGGGGTTTGAAGGAAGTGTGGAGGCTCTAGGACAGGAGTCTTAGAGGGGTCTGGCGCAGGCACCTTGGGGGGGTTGAGTTGTCCCAGGTAGGGGTTTGGGGAGTGTGTGTCTTGGGCAAGGTTCCTGAGGGGCTAGGGGCACCATGGGACAGGGTCTTGGGGAGAGGATGGGTGTTCTGGAGGAGGAATCTTAGGGGGATGGGATTCCTGGAGGTAGGTCCAAGCCAGCCCATGTTGGAAGCAGGGACAGCAGAGCACGTGGAAGGGGATGTCCCAGGGGTGGGGGATTTGGAGTGATAAGGGAACCTTGAGGTGGGGTCTACAGGGCATAAGGGGACCTGGGGGAGTGTCCAGGCGGGCCTTGGTTGGGCAGAAGTTAGCATGGCATGAGGAGGGGTCGTCCTGAGGTAGGCATGGGATCCTGAAGGGATTGGGGTAATCCTGTGAGGAGGGAAGGTGTGAGAGGGCTCTGAGGTGGTGGAATAGGTTGGGAGTGTCAGAAGCCGGTGAGGAAGGGAGTTCCTGTGGGGGATGCACCAGCCATAGCAGGCCTCGGGGCCAGGTCAGGGAGATGCAGGAAGAGGCGGGTGTCCTAGCCCCCTTTCCTCACTTATTGACGGGTGGAGTTGGGTGCTAGGTCCAAGTGTGAAGATGAGAAGTGGGTGGGGAGTGGTTTCAGGGTATGTTGGGCATTGGGGCCAGGATTGGCTGGGGGTAGGGAGGAGATATCACTGGGGTACCCCCTACCCCATTACCCCCTGACAAGCAGTCTGAGGGTCAGGGAGTAAGGAGGAGGTGGGGGGTCCAGGCCAGGGTAGGCCCGGAGCTGGGGTCAGCCAAGTGTGAGAAGATAGAGAGGTTCTTGGCCATGCTGTTTGGGGTCTTGGGAGCTTAGAGTGGGGACCCCAGGACTCTCCCTGTGTTTGTCTTCTTTGCAGTCCTGCTGGGGTTGGTAGGTAGCATTGTGAGGAGGAAGAAGAAATCAGTTGGGGACAGGAGTTCTAGGACTTGGAGGACAGACCCCAGGACTCTTTCCAGCTCTACCCCCATTTGCGTCCAGGAAAGCAATCCTGGACCATGACTCAGCAGCCACTTCGAGGAGTGACCAGCCTGCGTTTCAACCAAGACCAAAGTGAGAGACACTTTTGCCTGTACCCTCATGGGAGGAAGGGAGGGAGGGAGTGAAAGGCCAGGGGTGGGTGTTGAGCCCTCAGCTTCCCACCTGGGCACCCTTTGAGGCAGCCCGGATTCCTCCCATCCCCCAGGCTGCTTCTGCTGTGCCATGGAGACAGGTGTGCGCATCTACAACGTGGAGCCGTTGATGGAGAAGGGGCATCTGGGTGAGCCGTCGGTCGGGGAGAGGCAATGGGGAGAAAGGATGGGCTAGGCATTGGCTCCCACCCCCAGTGACACCTTGGTCTTTGTCCAGACCATGAGCAGGTGGGCAGCATGGGCCTGGTGGAAATGCTGCACCGCTCCAACCTGCTGGCCCTGGTGGGCGGTGGTAGCAGCCCCAAGTTCTCAGAGATCTCAGGTAAGTGCCCTCATCCCATCCTGCCCTTGGCCTAGATTCCCTGGAATCCTGGCCTCTCGTAGGCACCTCAAGACACTGGCAGATGAAGATGTCAGAGCACCTCAGAGTCGCACAGCGAGGCCTACAGCTTGGAAGTCATGGATCTTACAGCTTGAGAAGCTTGGTGTTTTGTCTTCATTTAACAAACATTAATTGCATGCCTCCTGTATGCCATGTCTTTACCTATGGAGCACTTGCTGTGAGCCTGGTACTGTTTAAGCACCTTGCATGTATTAACTTATTTAACCCTCTTAGTGACTCTGTATAGTAGGAAGTATCATTATCCTCATTTTTACAAATGAAGAAACAAAGGCCCAGAGAGGTTAAGTGACTTATCCAAGGTCACACAACCAATAGGTTCTAAAATCTTCGAGCTGTCTCTCCACCGCCATCTTGTTTTAAGAGTTTTTGTTGGTCCCATTGGGACTTGGCAAGAGACGCCATAGGCGAGTCACAGAGCCCTAGGATTCTGCTCAGAAATCTTCTGGGGGTATGGACTGGGGGTATGGACTTCTGCCTGGAGGAAGAAGTAGTTACTGACGGGAAGTTACAGGCCTGGGTGTGAGTCTCTACTTAATTGCTGATGGACTGTGAAGTCCTTGGCCAGATGCTTAACCCCTTCAAGCCTCAGTTTCCTCATTATAAATGAGTATAACATTTCTAGAACCTCTTCTCTCAGGAATCATGTCCACAAGTGCTCATGGTCTGTGAGGCTCACATTAGGTGTTAGTAAAAGGTCAAGCAAGTGGGTTGAGGTCCTCTGGGGAATAGGGGTAGGTCTTGTGTCACCAGGGCTGCCCCTCACCCTAAACCTTGGCACCGACAACACACCCACCTGCCCAGCAGTGCTGATCTGGGACGATGCCCGGGAGGGCAAGGACTCCAAGGACAAGCTGGTGCTGGAGTTCACCTTCACCAAGCCAGTGCTGGCTGTGCGCATGCGCCATGACAAGTGAGCCTGAGGACTGGGGGTGGGGGAGGTAGGAGGTCCCCACAGCAGGCAAGAGGGTTAGTTCCGCCTGCGCATCCTGCCCTCCCCTCATGGCCATCCTGTGTTGTGATGCCCACAGAATCGTGATCGTGCTGAGGAACCGCATCTATGTGTACTCCTTCCCCAACAGTCCCCGAAAGCTGTTTGAGTTTGACACCCGGGACAACCCCAAGGGTGAGAGGACCCAGATATGCAGGTGTCAGGGCAGGAGGCAGTGGACGGGGCAGAGGGGCAGAAATGAGGAGAGGATGAAAGGGGCACACACAGAACCGGGAAGGAGGCAGGGAGACAGGCTTTGCAGAGAGATGCTCAGAAGGGCTGAGAGATGCTCCTATTCCCAGTCTAAGCATCGTTCCATCCCTTAGCCAGTTCTCTCTGCCCACCTTCGACCTCCCCCACTCCTGAGTAAGGACATGGGTGGGTATGTAAGGGATCCCTGGGGCCTCCTGGGGCTGCTGCAGCTGCATAGGGAGCAAGGGAATCTGCCTCGCTGGTGGGGAGCACAGCCAAGGACAAGCCCCCTGAGAGTTCTGTGGGTAACATGCATCATGGAAGGTCGAAATCTGGCCCTTATCCAGCCCCGTCCATTCTGAAACCCTGCCTGGCCCCTGCCTCCCCTTCACCAGCCTACTCCTGCTTCGTCCTAACACCCTAGGGCTCTGTGACCTCTGCCCCAGCCTGGAGAAGCAACTGCTAGTGTTCCCAGGACACAAGTGCGGGAGTCTGCAACTTGTGGTGAGCCATCCAGTGGTCAAAGAAGGGTAGGTGGGTGGGCTGGCTCCCCCTGTGGACTCTTGGCCCCTGCCCTCCATACTACCCCAAGCCCAAACTGCTCCTTCTACCGAAGGACCTGGCGAGCACAAAGCCCGGAACTTCATCTGCTCCGTTCACCATCAACGCACATCAGAGCGACGTGGCCTGCGTGTCTCTGAACCAGCCAGGCACCGTAGTGGCCTCGGCCTCCCAGAAGGGCACCCTTATTCGCCTTTTTGATACGCAGTCCAAGGAGAAACTGGTGGAACTGCGCAGAGGCACTGACCCCGCCACCCTCTACTGGTGAGTACAGGGTATGTGTGGCAGGCTGGTGACCCTATGCCTCGTGACATGTGGACATCACTGCTGGTCTGTCTTCCAGCATCAACTTCAGCCATGATTCCTCCTTCCTGTGCGCTTCCAGTGATAAGGGCACGGTCCATATCTTTGCTCTCAAGGATACCCGCCTCAACCGCCGCTCCGCGTGAGTACTCCCCGCCCCACCCTGCCGCATCCCCAGTCCCCTGCCCATGTACCACACCTGGGCTTAGCCAGTATTGCCTGCAGGCTGGCTCGTGTAGGCAAGGTGGGGCCTATGATTGGGCAGTACGTGGACTCTCAGTGGAGCCTGGCAAGCTTCACCGTGCCTGCTGAGTCAGCCTGCATCTGCGCCTTCGGTCGCAATACTTCCAAGAACGTCAACTCGGTCATTGGTGAGTGGGACTGGCCCTTGACTGGGTACTGCATAGGCAAAGGCCTGCGAGTTGGACCTGAAAAAATTTTAGGCCATGAGAAGCCTTCAGGAGCCAGAATGGGTAGCTCAGCTCCATCATCAGTAAGTGGGAGGGCACGTGGGCAAAAGCCTGGAGGTAGACCCTAGGCCATGGGACACCTGAGAGGACTGGAGTGTGTGGCTTCTAACCTCTTATGGATCCTCTCCCCCTCCTCCAGCCATCTGTGTAGATGGGACCTTCCACAAGTACGTCTTCACTCCTGATGGAAACTGCAACAGAGAGGCTTTCGATGTGTACCTTGACATCTGTGATGACGATGACTTTTAAGGACCCTGTGGGTTGTGCCAGGAGCCTGCAGTGGCAGATTGCAAAGCCTTTAGGGGGTTGGGAGTGCTGTGGAAGCCACTAGCCAGCAAGCATTAATGGGGCAGGTGCCCACTTTCTACTCAGCAGAGAGTGCCTAAACAGCTCTCTTCCCTCAAGCACTTCGTGAAGACTGTGTACCAGTAAGGCCAGGCCATGGACCCTGGACGGCAGCAGACCCCCTGAGGCTCCCAGCCTGGAGAAGACTGCTAGGCACCCAAAGGGAGTGCCCTAATCCAACCTGTGTGGGGGGGATTAAAAAACTTCCCTGAAAGAGACGATCTTTGATGTGATGAACATGAATAAAAGGCCCTTAATGGTATTTATGGCTGGACCTCGGGGGGTCGGGTCTGGAGGAGGTGAGGCTGAAAAGGCCCTGCAGGAGTTTCCAGGAAAGGTGTGACGCTCTTGGTCCCTGACGGGATCCTGCTCGGACCCCTCTGACAGCCCCTGCTGTCATCTCTGCATGTCCTCCAATGTCTGGGTACTGTGTGCATGAGCCAGCAGCTCGCCCGGAGTAGTCGCCGATGGCGCCCCCGCCCGGGAGCGGGTGGGACCGCCTCTCACCGCATCCGAGACTTGATTTCCTGGCAGCCCTTGCTGCCTTATAGTTCCGGCGTCTTGCTGGCGTTTCCTGTCACGTGTGTTGCTGCGCCTGCGCAGTCCACCTAGGTGGGAAGGGAAGCGTCCGCACGGCTCAGACTCCGTTTCCCAGTGTTCCCCGCGGTGGTGCGGGGGGTAACGGGTGTTGTAGTCCGGCCTCTCTTCTGGCTGGTCCAGCTACATCGACTGGCAGGATGTCGGAGGTGCGGCTGCCCCCGCTACGCGCCCTGGATGACTTCGTTTTGGGATCGGCGCGTCTGGCGGCCCCGGATCCATGCGACCCGCAGCGATGGTGCCACCGCGTCATCAACAACCTCCTCTACTACCAGACCAACTACCTTGTCTGCTTCGGCTTCGGTCTTGCTCTGGCCGGGTGAGGGAGGGCGGGAGGCGCTTGTTGGTCGGGGATGCCTGCAGGGCATGGAGGGTAGACCCGTGGGATTTTGAGGACCGGGAGGGGTAACCTGAGGGGAATGCAAGGCCTGGAAGGGCGAATTCAGTAGAGATGGAAAGCCTAAGGGGCATGGGAGGGGGCACTTGAAGGAAGTGGAACCTGGTTAGGAGGAGGGCCTGGGGCAGGATAGACCTAGGCTGAGGGGGCCCTGATGGGGATGGAAGGTGTGAAGGGAAGACCTGGGGAGGATGGAGAAAGTGTGGAACTGATGGGGAAACTGTGGGCAGGGAGGTGGACCTGAAGATAAGGAGGGTCTGAAAGTGGGACCTGAGTGTGCTCGGGGGGTGGCGGGGCGATGTGAGTGATGGGGCCAGATTAAGGCGGCCCTGGACGACTTAGGACGGGGACAGGGGCGTGGTCAAGTTGAAGGGTGTGGAGGGTGGACTTGTGGAGAATCTGTGCTTGTAGGGAAGCCTGGCTATGACTGGAACGCCCAGGAGCAGGTACCTGTTGGGGAACTTGAGCCAAGAGGGACGACCCAGGGATGGAAGGCCTGAGACAGGAGATGGATAGAGAACCTGGAGGAGGGACTTGGGCGGGGTTGGAAGTTAAGAGTGGGACCGAAAGCCTGGAAGGGGTTCTAGCAATGATGGAGGGGGAATCTATAGGGACATTGGAACCTGGAGGGGCAATTTGAAGGGGAGGAAGCCTGGAAGGAAGTCCTATAAGGACCCTGGCCTGGGGAGAGGGAAATGTATAGCGACAGAAGGCTTGGAAGAGGAATCGCAAGGGCTGGGCTTAAAGGGTGGGTTTGGGGGCAGATTCGGGGGGCGGGGGAGGCTGGAGAGGGGCCCCGCCCGGTAGGGTCGGAAGGAAAGGGCTGGGAGCCTGGGGGCATAGCGGGATGGGAGGGCCTGAAGCAGGAAATCTCAGGGAGATGGGACTGTAGGACTGATGAGAAAGAAATGAGGCTCCACGGAGAAGTGCAGGGCTCCTGGAGCTGGAAGCCCTGGAGGGTAGACTTGTTGGAGACAGGGCTGGTGGGAGTATTTGCCGGGCTGGAGTGTCCGGAGAGGGAGGACCAAAGCTCTTGGGGCCGGGGATCGGGTGGGCGGTGGTCCGGAATGCTCGGAGGCCGGGCGGCCCTCTCCCGCCTGCGCTGCTAGCTTAGTTCCATTGTCCTCGCAGGTACATGCGTCCGTTGCACACCCTCCTAAGCGCGTTGGTAGTGGCGGTGGCCCTTGGCGTGCTGGTGTGGGCGGCTGAGACTCGCGCAGCCGTGCGCCGCTGCCGCCGCAGCCACCCTGCCGCCTGCCTGGCCGCAGTGCTGGCCGTCGGCCTCCTTGTTCTCTGGGCCGTGGGCGGCGCTGGGACTTTCCTGCTCAGCATCGCCGGGCCCGTTCTTGGTGAGTCTCCACTATCCTCAGATGGCCGGGAAAAAGGCCAGCGCGTGCGCACGGAGCCAGGCCTGCCCTGGTTCCCGGCCGGCCGTGAGGGGGCTGGGACACCCGGCGGGCCTGGCCACACCTCCTTTACAAAGCGCCTTCCCTGGCTTCACTCCCCTCTTCTGGGAATGCCTCGCTTACTACCGCCTTTCCAGGCCTCACTCGGTATTAAGTGCCTTCCACCAGCCACGTCCCCCTTACTGCACCCGCTCTAGCCACGGCCCTGTTGCAAAGCGTATTACTCAGCCACACTTTCAGGATTAAAGGCGTCCTGGCCACTGACCACTCCATTGCCTGCCTGTGCTCCAGTTCCCCTGTGTGGGCCCCCATTGGTTAAATGTTGATGTCCCATCTCACTGACCCCCCTCCTCTCCGTATTGCCCACAGTGATCCTGGTGCACGCCTCGCTGCGCCTGCGCAACCTCAAGAACAAGATTGAGAACAAGATCGAGAGCATTGGTCTCAAGCGGACGCCAATGGGGCTGCTACTGGAGGCGCTGGGACAAGAGCAGGAGGCTGGGTCCTAGGGACCTGGGATCTGTACCCAAGACCTGGAGAATGCCATCCCCACCCTGGCCCGTACCCGGAACCCAGAGCCCTTTCCCAGCCCTTAAAATAGGAGCCCCTTCCCCAGTTCAAAAAGCAGGACATCTGTGACCCTCCCCCCAGGTCCAAAACTGGGCTATCCTTCATACCCAGCCCCCATCACCTAGAGGACACTCCAGTCCTGAACTTGGGACCCAGAGCCACCCACATCAGGCCAAAGCTGGGGCTTGGAGACCAGAGCATCCATGGCCACCTCAAACTCTGGGCCCAGATATTCCCCCCAACCCCAGGCTGGGACCCACCTGTCCCCCATGCTCAGCTCCAAAGCTGGGGTCTGGGACCAAGGCATTCTCCAATCTTGAACCCTGGACCAAGGCTTTTCCAGACCCCACCCCAGCTTTGAACCCAGGTCAAGGCATTGCCAAATCTTGAACCCAGGACCCAAGTGTTCCCAGCCCCCATCAGGGCAGAGGATTCAGGGATCCTGACCCTGTTGAACCCTTGCTCGCAGGTGACCCCACCACTCACCAGTCCCACTTGCCCCCCCCCCCCTTGCTTAGGGATTCTTCCCCTCCCCCACCAAAGTTCCACAGTGGCGAGGACCAAAGGGTGGGGACAGCTCCAACTGGGAATGGGGCATATATATCAGTGTTGCTGCAACAATAAAAGCTGTTGCATCATTCAAGCCAATTTGGGTCTCCTGGGTCAAGTCTGCATGTTTCAATGGCCAGAAGGAGCCTTGTGCTTTTCAGTTCTGCTAGAGACTCTTGACTGGGTCTCTCTGTCAAATGTGTGGACTGAAGTGGTGAGCTCTCAGTTCCTTCCTTGAACCTGTTACCTCTGGAGCAACATTAATGCAGAAGGTAGTTAAGGGCACGGAGTATTTCCTACTCTTTGTGTGACTTAGGGCTCTTGTTCAGGGTTGGCTAGGAATTTGAACACAGACGGGCAAAGAACTTACCCCACATCATAAAGCAAGTAAAGCCAAAGCAGATGACATTATCACAGGCTGTTTCCACAATGCTCTACTGTTTATAAAATGGTGTTATAAAAATATATGTGGTCTTAACTATAGGTGTGGGCTCCTATGGCAAAGCAGATAGAAGAGCAACACATGGGTTCAGTTTACACATTTATTATAGAAATCCCCTTCCAGTGTGGGTAGTGTCTTGGGCCCAGATCCATTGGTACAAAAAAAAGTTTAACACCAGGTAAAGGGGGCAGGGGAACCCCCAGCTCCAGAAAGTCACAGACAGGTATCATAGAAAACACAGGTTGTGTGGATTTGTTTAAAAAGTGGTGGATGGAAAGAAAGCCAAGGAAGACGTGACGTAGCCCATGGCCAGACGTCACCTGAGGATTTTACTGGCATCTACCAGACGCCAGGTTCCACCACCGCAGCATCCCAGGACACAACACATCCGATGGCTCTGCCCTTTGGCCCTCCTGCGGGGCCTCCTGATCGGGGATAGACAGGGCGGAGGCTGCCGCCAAAGGCTGGGCTATCTCACCCTGTGGGCAGAGGCAGCGGGCACAGACAGGCAGACAGGGACTGGGGCTCCTTCAGGCACCCCTGAGGGTGGGAAAATGAACCCAAGCCCCCCACCCAGACTTCAGTCCTTCCAAATGTGGGCAGAGAGCCCACCTCCCCAAGAACTGCCCTGGCGAGGGGTGGCAGGGAGTTCTGTTCACACCGGAGTATCCTGGCTGCCCCAAACAGGGCCCTAAGACCCTATGTGGTCCATTTTGTGGAGGGGGTTCCTAAATGGAACAGGCTGGGCACGGGGACGGGAATGAACCCAACCAGGACGAGATCACAGTTTCCCTTTCATAAAACGTCTAGTGTTGGGGGAAGACAGTGAATACCTAAGTCACAACTGTAAACAGAAATGGAGGAAGGGGCTTGGAGTCCCCATTACACCATCCCCCCCTCTTTTAAGCTAGCTGAGGGCCCTCAGTCCCCAGCACAGTGTGAGAGGAGAAGCAGGGTGTCAGACACCTTCATGGACCCACAGGGAGCTAGGGGCCTTGGAAGATCTGATTGGCGCCCCGACCCAGGACTGAGAACAACCCCACCCCAGGGCTCAGCGAGGTCAGCTGTGTGCTCCCCAGACTGGAGTCATGCCCAGACCAACGAGGGGCATATCAGAAGGGGTCAGACCAGTGTCCCCGGGGTCTGGGGGTCAGAACTGGAGGACTGCTCCCCCTCTAGCGTCAGGTCACTTAAACGAGCGCTCAGCTCCGGGGGGTACAGGAAGTCCGCGTAGTATCTTTAGAAGGGGTAGCAGGAGTCCGGAGGACAGGGCGGGAAGACAGAGAAGAGAGGAAAAGACAGACAAGACACAGAAAGAGAGGAAAAGAGGCTCGTTAAAGAGGCGGAGGCAGGCACAGGACAGCACCTTTAGGCTCGCAAGGGTGGGGCATGGTGAAAAGAGGAAGAGAAAGGCAAGGCACACGGGATGTCCCTTCCTGCCAGCACCCTGGTTTCAAGGCTCATTTTCAGCTGACATGCACTGGCTGTTAAAATATTAAAATTCTTCTATAGCTTTGTAAAAAACTACTGCTACCAGGGCCCAAGATACCCCTCCACCGAGACCCCGTGGACTAAGGCAGCTCAGGCAGGGCCCAGAGACCCTGGGCCAAGGCTGCAGCTAGTTCTCTTGTGGTCCAAGTCATTAGCTATCACGACCAGCTGCTCTCTGGCCTGGATGCCTTTGCCATCTGCCTCAAGAGACCCCTACCCATCAGTAAAAGCACCCCCCATACCTGCCGGAGACAGGGGGCGCCGTGAAACTCCTTGAGTGTGGGAGCGGCGCCTGGCTGGGGGCCCCATACAGCGCCTGGCCCACCTCATAGCAGCGGGCATGGAGGAAGGGTGGGTGTTGCGGGCCCATGTGGGGGAGCACAGGCCGGCGCTGGGGCCCCGAGGCCAGTCCCGAGTTCCGGATGTACCAGTCCCGCAGCCCCTCCAGGGCAAGGTTCTTGTGGCCGCTGCGCTCACCAGCTGGGGGGATACGGGTGGGTGGCGGCATCCACAGCAGAGGGTTTGGATGCACCTCTGGACCCTCAGTGGCCTCCAGGGGCAGGCCACAGGGCTTGGTGCGGGTGGCACGGGTGTGGGGGTCCTTGCTGCGGAGGAGGGGGCTGCTGCCGTCAGCTGCATACACAGGTGGTGGGCCTGGGAGCATGGCGAGGAGCCCATCCCGGCGGGAGAGGGGTCCTGGGACCTCAGCTGCGGGCAGCAGCTCCCCCCAGCCTGCCCCGCCGCCACCACGGGGCAGGCCCCGGTCCAGGGAGTAGTCCAAGAGGAAGTCTCCGCACACAGGTGGGAGCCGGGGGGCCCCGCGGGAGGCAGGGGCTGCTGAGCTAGGCCGGGCAGCCCGGGGAGGGTCTGGGGGGCCTGTTGTGCGGGAGGAGAAGGCAGGGGTTGGTTGGGGGCGCTCATACAGCACCTCACTGCTCTTACAGACCGGGGGGCCAGTGGCAGGGGGAACCAGAGGTGCAGGTGGGGAGCTGGCTCCCCCACCACCTGCCCGGTCCACTAGCAGGGCCTCGGAGCTGTTGCTGCGGCGGGTGCGAGCTGCAAAGAGGGAGGCGCGGTCGGAGGCAGGGTCCGCCCGTGGGAAGCCCATCTGGGAGTCCTGGCTGCCGGACCACTGGCGAGAATGGAGACCTTCGGGTCTAGGGGCGCAGAGGCGGGGGTAATGGGAGGAGGGTCAGAAATATCAGGCAGACAGGCTGAGTGCCCTCCCTACCCCACCTCTTTCCAAGCCTTCGCTTCCACATCTCCAAAAGGGGCCCAGGATTAGCAACTGTGTGTATAAAGGTGTCAGGTGGTGGCATGTAAAGGACAGCAGAGGTTCTGTCCCTGCCTGGGGGGCCCAGGGCTTGAAAAGGAATGGGAGGGCCTGGGGCTGTCAGCTCCAAGGGAGAGGTGAGTGTGTGCGGGGCTGAAGCGGAAATGCCAGCAGAGGAGGGGCCCAGCAGAGGGCTCTTCCTAACACCCGGACCCCTCACCCCTGCTAAGGCACTTCTCACGGCTCCCCACCTCCTCCACCATGAGGCCCTAACCCTCAGGCCTGGAATTCAAGACCCTTCCTGAAGTCTCCGAGGCCCCGTGCGTATGAACCACCCAAAACTATCATTCCAACAGCCCCATTCACAGGACACAGTGCCGCAAGGATGGGGACTTTGTGTTGTTCACAGCCCAGGAAAAGGGGGCACCCAGGGAGTGTTTGTTTAAGCAGCAGTAAGGTACAGTGACTAAAAGCACCAACTCTGGAGTCGCCTTGCCTGGGTTCAAATACCAGGTCTTCAGTTTACTAACAAGTCACTTGACCTCTCTGGGCCTCAGTTTCCTCATCTATAAAATGGGACTAACTGTAGCACCTACCTCACAGGGATCTTGTGACAATTAAATGGGTTGACACCAGGCAAAGCCCTGATTCCTAGCAGGCAGCAGGCACTCAGTGCATGTCAACCAGAACTTATTATGCCTACAGTGTCTCTCAGAGGCACGTATTATGAGGCCCATTTCACAAATGAGGAGACAAAGATTCAGAGAAGGGAAATGACTTGTCTAAAATGCACAGAAAAGCCCACACTCAAATTCTGATGCTTCTGCCCCAAATTCCCACCCCCTTCTTCTCCACCAAGACAAATCCTATTCACCTTTCAAAACCCAGCCTCTCACGTCCCACACCCTTTGAGAATGCTCTCCCCAACACCCCCAGTTAGAACTGACGGTTCCCTCCTCTGGTCCTCAAAGCCACCCTCAGAGTCCCCTTACTTGCAAAGCTGGGGGCCAGCGCCCCGGGTGAGGACAGGGGTGGCAGGCACACTTCGCCCCTCAAAACTGGAGGCACTCCTGGGCAGCGAGCGTGTGGGGCTAGACAGAGACGAGCAGGCCCAGGTGGGGGTCCAGGTTAGAGACCGTACCCACTAGGAGGCCCTCCTGCCAGCCCAGGCTCAAGATCCCGCTCCTGGCTCCTGGAGAAGGGGCTCACCCTCACCTGGTGGGGCTAGCCACAGAGTTCCGCCGGCTCTTCAGATCCCCATAAAGATCTGATGGGGATGGTTTCCACGGGGTTCGTCGCTCAGGGCTGCCCCCAGACACCGCCCGCAGCTGGTCCCAGGCTTTGGGTGGCGAGGGACGCTCGGCCAGAGGGAAGCATCCACGGGGCTCCTCTGGGTGGAAGGGAGAAAGTGGGGGAGAATTCAATGAGAGGGTCGCAACAGGTTGTAGGCAAAGCAAAGGGCAGGGGCTAGGGAGGCAGGGAGGGGCAGAGGGCTGGGCAGGGCTGAGCCAGCTGAGGAAGAGCTAAGAGATGAGGCAGGAACTGAGGCATGAACTGGGGCAGGCGGGGTGGGGTGAGTCGAAGAAGATGAGGAAGCCACAGGAGGATGGGGCGTGGCTGAGGAGGAGCTAAAGAGGGAGAGGAGGGGCTGAGCCCCAAAGGATGGGTGGGTTTGGGGGATAGGGGTCCTCACCATTATCATGGCTGGCCCCAGACTCTGAGAGGGAGCTGCTCTCCGAGTGCAGAACTACATCCTCTAGGGGCAAGAAGGGGGAGACCGGGGCCTATCAATGCACGGCCTGGGTGCCGTCCCCTTACACCACTGGACAGCCTCCTCCTCACCCTGCTCCCTTCCCCAGAGCCCACCTTTACCTGGATTCAAGACCACCAGAGGCTTGGCTCCTCACTTTCCCGGAGCCTTGTGGTCAGTTCCCAGTGGCCTCACCCTTGCCCAGCCAATTTATCACAACTTCCCTTAGTGGTCGGTCCTTTAAGTTCTGTCTGCCTCCCACTTTTCACTGCCTGTTCGCCCACCCCACCCCTCCCACGTCCCCTAGCCAGTGCCCACTCTCCCACTTTCACTGGTGAGGTGATGGGGCCTGGCTCACCTTGGCTGAGCTGAGCGAGGCGCGTGCCCAGGCACACTCCCTGGGTGGTGATAACTGGCCCCGTGGACAGTGGCGGGAGCACTGGGAGGCCAAGGCGGGCCCGGACGTCCCCGAGCTGCTCCTCCAGCTCATGCAGCCTCCGCAACGCGTCTGCCTGCACCTGGCGCCGGCGTCGGCGCTGCTCGGCACTCAGCTCGGGGGCCAAGGCCAGGCGGCGGGCAGCGGCCGCAATCTGCTGCTGCACTGACACCTCACGCTCCAGGGCCTCAAGAGCCAGCTCCTACAGGGCCCACCCAACAGGGGCGGACAGGACCAAATGTTGGAAGTGGCACAGGGACCAGGCCACCGGTGGCAGAGCTACACTGGAGACGGGGCCTGCTCTTCCTGGGGACAGCCTATTCTGGGGTGGACCTTATTCCTTCTGGGAGCAGGGTCTGTCTTGATTAGGAGCTGGGCCTATTCATCCTCCAGAGGGTGAGAGGCTTATCCTGATGGTTAGGGACCAGCATCCTCCCTCAGACCCAGAACCCACCTCCCTCCAGCCCGGTCCCTTCTCACCTTAGCCTCTCCTTCCCCTGGACGCAACCCCCACTCTGCCCACGGCTTCCTCCAGGCTCCTCCTCCTCTGGACCCATCTCGCCCCCATCTTGCTCTCCATGCCCATCTGCTCACCTCAGTAGGGCACAAGGAGTGGTGTGCTGGGTTGGGGTGCAGTGGAGGGTAGGCTCGGGCTGCAGGGGGCCGCCGGCGGACCAACTGAGGCCGTTCACCTGGCTCCAGTGGGCACTCAGGGGGCAGTTGGCCAGTCAGCTCCTGGGCGGTGGGAGGCAGGGATCAGAGACCACCAAGCGTTAGTTGGAGGGATGGGGCAAAGCAGTAATGACCCAGAAGCTAGAGAAGCCCTCTGAGGAGCCCAGTGCTGCTGAGCGCCCATGCCTATTAGTTCTCTTTCTCCTCCCAATTCTCCACTGGGCAGATGCGCAGCCCCCCGATGGCCCAAATCCCCAGGGCGGTGGCCATGGGAGGCAGGGGGGGCATATAAAGGTGACACAGTCTATGCGCTGCATATTCTATAACACTCCCTTCAGGGCCTGGGGCTGCAGGCTCTGAACCACATTATTATTTCTGGCAAACTGTGGACATTTACACCAAGAGGGGAAAATCAAAACCATAAATCACCTCATGTCAGTTCAGGTCTGGTTTTACTGCCGAATTTTGGAACTAACTATTGTTTTTTGAGGTTTTTTTGCATTTCCAATTGTTGATAGGGGATTGTGGACCTGCCCTGCCATATTTTATTGATTCCAAGACATCTAGTTGAGCTGTGAGGAGCTGGAGGGTGACAGGGAGTCCACAGCTCAGCACCCCCCGCCAGGCTGCCTGCCTAGGGGCCCCGGCTCCTCACCCCCTCCCCGAGGCTCTAAGGGCCAGGCCTCACCGCCTCCTGGAGACACACTTTGCGCAGCTCCTGAAGTTTCAGGCTCAGGGCCTCCTGCAGGGCCCGCTGCCGGTCAAGCAGCCCCCGCAGACGCTCTGACTTCACCTGGGGGGCGGCCTCTCCAAACAGGGCAGCTGGACACACAGGGAGCAAAGATCAATGGAGCAGCCAGGACATCCTGGAGCAGCTGTGAGGCCAGGGGCCAACCCTTCCCAAACGGACATGCGGTGACTCAGAGCAGAGGAGGAGGCAGCGGGAGGGGAAAGCAGCCACCGACCTGAGGCATTGAAGGTGGGAGAGCTGATCAGCTGACCTTTGACTTCCATCCTGGTGCTGTCAAGAGGCCGGGGCTGATGGCTGGACAAGGCCTGGTAGCGATGCACGGGAGCCATTAAGGAAGCACATCCCTCAACCGCCCCCCTTACCCAGCTTCCCACACCCCGGCTGGGAATACGGGGTACCCTGACTCCACCCGCCTGCTTGGCCTGTCCTCTCAGAATCGGTGCCAATGTCTGGACCCACTTGGCCCTGGTACCTTGGTTCCCTTCCCATTGAGTGGGAGTACAGCAAGTGGGAAGCCGGGCGGACTTACAACGCCTCCTCAGAGGCCCATGGGTCACCGTCAGGAGTCTTGCCTGGGGAGGGAGAAGTAATGGTACAGATTCATCCAAGTATAACAACAGTGGGCATTTATTAAGCACCTGGCTGCCTGGAACAGTCACCTTCTATGCCATATTGAATCCTCACGACCACCCTGTGACAGGTCTGTGATGATTATTACCCCCATTTTAGAGATGAGGAGAACAAGGCTCAGAGAGGGGAGGGAGCCTGCACACCACTAAGGATGCAGCCCGGGCCGCCCCTTTGGTCCAACACTCTCCCTCACTAGAGCTGCTCCAACTCCCACAATTCCTCAGGAGCGCCCAGGCCTCAGGGCCTTTGCCCAGGCTGTGGCTGCTGACTGGAGTGCTCTTTTCCCCTCTCACCACTCCAGTCCCTGGTTCTCACTCTGGGGCTTAAATGTCACTTCCAGAGGGGGCCCCAGCATTACATCCCCTCATAACTGCTGTCCAACAAGAGACTGTGCCTTCTTCATACATTCACGAGGACAGGAAATGCATCTGTCCCGTTTTCATCAGTATTTCTGGCACTTCTAACACTTCTGTGCACATAGCACGTGCTCAATGAACGTCTGCTAGGTGCATGAAAGAATGACAAGGGAGGGCCGGTGCGGTGGCACAGCGGTTAAGTTTGCACGTTACGCTTCGGTGGCCTGGGTTTCGCTGGTTCGGATCCCAGGTGCAGACATGGCACCACTTGGCAAGCCATGCTGTGGTAGGCATCCCACATATAAAGCAGAGGAAGATGGGCAAGGATGTTAGCTCAGGGCTAGTCTTCCTCAGCAAAAAGAAAGAGGAGGATTGGCCACAGATATTAGCTCAGGGCTAATCTTCCCCCCCCAAAAAAAAGAATGACAAGGGAGCTGAGCCAGGGATCAAGCCCAGATCCGTGGGTCTGTTATCCCAACTCCAGCCTGTGGTCCTGTGCGGCAGGGAGACTGTTCCCTTGGCCCCGGACCCTTCTGGCCCCTCAGGACCCAAGCCTCAGCACCCCAGGGAAGTCACCCTGCCGGGACTGTGAGTGGCAAAGTCCGCAGCTACAGATAACAAGCTGCCTGCCTTCTGCATCCTTCTCTGCCCCCAGACGCCCTGGCTGACCATGGAGCCTGCCTTGGCTGGCCGCCAGCCCTGCCCTCGTCCCCTCCTCTGGAGTTTGCTCCTGCCCTCCTACATCCTGCTCGGTCCCCAGCTGGGCCGCCAGGTGACATCACCTCCCGCCACCTGGCCTGACTTCAGTAGCAGGCAACAAGGAAGGCCTCATGAGGCTACAGAGGTCCCAGTCTCACCTACCTTGAAATCCCCAGTTTGTCATGTCACGGTGGCTAGGTGTGGGGAAGACCCAGGCAACCGAGGATGCACGGGTTCAAGCCCTGTCCCCATCTATACATTGGGGATGTGGCCAAGCAGCCAATATGCTGCTACCAGTTTCTCGGCAGTCCTCCTACCCGTCCCACAGGGTCTGAACCGCCCCCACAAAGCAGTGGCTCCCCGTCCTCAACATCAGGGCTGGAGACCAGTCCAAGCCCTTGCACACGCCCAGGCAGCAGTGTGGGCTTTGCAGAGGCGCTCACACGCCCACCCTCCAAAGTCTGACAGTGCCCAGTGTGGCAGGGTTTCCTCAAGGACCCAGCTCAGCCTCCTCTGCCCCTCGGCTCCTGGGGCCCCTTCTTCCCCAGTCCCCATTTGGGTTTGAGGAACTCTCCCAGGGCTCCCCTAAACCTTCCTCCGCCCCCACAGGAACCTCAACTCTGCCCTAGGGGGCCCGTTCACCAGGAGTGGTCCCATATCCAGCACTGGGCTGCCTTGAGCCTTCCTTCTCTGGGAGCTCACGGCTTCCTGGAAGTCAACACGGGGTCCAAACAGGAACCCCGACTCCACCCTGGCAGTCTGACCTCGGGGACATAGCTAGGGCCTGAGTCATGGGGTCACTGGGCAGGCTAGACACAGGGTCAACGCCCCACACCCCCACACTCGGCTCCCAAATCTGCCTCCGCTCAGCTGCCCTCTGCACATTTGCCCTGGGGCCTGGGGCTGCCCCATCCCCACCTGGAGATGGTGAGAAGGGGGACCCCAGCAGCCCCCTGCCCAACACACCCCCACACCAGCCCCTGGGGCTCCCCACTGGTGACCCTGTGCCCTGTCCTGTCCCAGGATGGGCTGCAGCAGGAGAGCTGTGGAGGGCACCCCCCACACCCAGAGGCGGGCCCAGCAGGTTTTTCAGGTCTGCCCTTCTGACACCACAGCCGAGAAAGAAATTCCTGGCTGTAATGACTGTTTACAACCAAGACGCTTCACCTGGGTGGCACCCCAACACCCTCAGTGGGACCCCCATTTCCACATCCTGCCATGGTTTGAGCAAATGCAAACTCCCCCTGTCTGGGATGCTTCCCTACGCTGCCCTAGAGGCCCCCTGCCCCCACTCTAGGTGAACAGGTCGGAGGCTGGCAGGCAGGTACTGGCAAGTAGTTTCTCCATAGCCCAGTCTGGGCTCTCCTGGGGACTGGGCTGAGGGAGGGCAGAGGCTATTCATGCAGGGGAGGACGGAGGAGAGGAAGGGCGGGGAACAGAGAAGGGGGATTCTGGCTTCTCTTTTCCCCCATCCCTTCTCCTCGTCCATTTCCGGCAAGAAATCAGCTTCATGCCAGGAAAGGAAATGGGATGTTTTGGGCTTCACCCCTCTCCTCGGGGCCCCCTTCCTTGCTGTCCCTCTTCATAGACCTGGCTCTCTCCTGCAGGGAACTTCAGTATACCCTAGCCCCTCCTCCCACACCCCCCGCCCCTGGACCCACTGCTCCCAGGTGCTCACCAATGCCAGAGACGTGCTGTGGGGTGGCCTTGGGTACCTCAAAAAAACAGTTGTCTTGACCAGGCCCTGCTCCGGCTGGTAGTGGCAGTGAGCGGGGAGTGCAGTGGCGGATGCCTAGGCCGCCTCCCACTAGGCAATGGCCCAGCCTACCTGGCCAGGGACTGGGCAGGCCCATACCTTTTAACCCTTGCCTGCCTGCCTGCCACCAGGGCTCGGGCTACCCTCAGGGGCAGTCCGGAAGCCAGGTCCCCTCAGGGTGTCCAACATGGCCAAGACCTGGACCTCCCCCCTCACTGCCTAGCAGAGGACTGAGGAAGAAGGGCTAAGGGTCGTGGCAGCGGCAGCTGACTCTGGTGCCGCTCAAGTTCCCAGATCAGACTTGGCCCAGCCAAGGGTACTACCTAGGAGCTGGGGGACAGAGAGCCGGGGAGCTGCTAGGCACACAGGAGGTCTTGGGTGTAAATTGGGTGTGTGTCTCTTGGCAGCACACATCACATTCCTGAGGCCCCTACCCTTCCCTCCCGGGGCAAGGCAGGGCTGGGAGAAGGTCTTAGGTCTTAGAGCAAGTCCCACCCTCACTGGGATGATTATTGCCCAAGTTGGGAGAGAGGGGGTCAACTTTTCTAAGGAGAGACCAGGTCTCAAGACTCTACCACCTTCTGCAGCTCCAGAAGAAATCATCCTAGCAAACCAACAACACACACATGTGGTTCAAGCCCTCCAGATCCCTACAAACCTGGGAGGAGGGCACCAACCCAGCTCCTCAGAGCCAGCCTGTAGATGTGGAAGCTGCGGCTCGGGGAGGTGAAGAGGCCTGATTCTGATCACAGAGGCATAAGAGCAGGTAGAAGCAGAAGTCGGGGGGCTGGCTCCTGCAGTGGAGGCCGACAGAGGCTCCTCCCGCAAGGGAGGAGGAGTGGGAAAGGGGGCTCACGCTTCTTCACGTCCAGGCTGGGTCTCCCCCATCCACCCCCCTGCCCCGAGGCATTTCTGGACAGGTGCCAAGGAAACTGAGGGCTCTGAGTCCCCCTGAGGTACTGTCTTCCCCACACCGCCACCCGAGCTCTGGGCCTGTCCCGGCATACACCACACAGCCTGTACTCCATTTGGGACCATCTACTTTGTGACCTCAGGGCCCAAGCCCAAGCCAGGTCCCTGCGGCAGCCCACGCCATGATGTGAAAGCAGAGTGAGGAAAGCTCCCTCTCTGCTTGGCAGGCGGGCCAAGTCCGGAGAGGAGCTCACTGGATCAGCAACGCCCCACATACACGCTATTGTGGCCTCCCGCCACCCTGCCCACCTTTCTTCCTGGGTGTGAGATTTCTGGCATGGGACACAAAGGCCCCTTTCATCACCCCCCTTCTCCCCCCGCTTCACTGCCTGGGGCTGGTGGAGGCGGTAGCCATAAGGTGGGCAGCTGGGTGTTGGTGGGGAGTGTCCTCTCAGCCATGGCCTCTCCTGCCTCCTGTGGGACACCAAGGATGTTGGGAAGACGGATGTTTATAAAATCAGAGCCGAGAGGGACAAGGGCATCAGGCTGGCAATGAAGATTAAGTCTCAAGTCTTCTTCATCTGTAAAACGGGTACACGGTGGTTTCAGAGCCGACAGAGGCGAAAGGAACTTTGGAAGGCATTTCAAAGTGCATGGTAACTCGCACCACGTCATTAATGACTGTTAATGACGACAATAATAAACTCACGCAGGTGGAGGGCGCGCGGGAGTGAGGAGAGGAGAGTAAGGGCCCCTCGGGCCAGGCAGACAGATGGGGCAGAGGCACCCACACACACCACTGCCCTGGCCCACGACTTTTAACAGCCTAGAAGACAGCCAACCTCTAAGCCCCACCCCAGCCAGGACCTGAGCCTCACCCGGCCTCATGTAGGGGTAGCAAGTGGTGGGTCAGGGATTCAACCTAGCTCTGCCACCTACTGGCTGTGTGACTGCTTGGACAAATCACTTAACCTCTGTGCCTGAATGTCCGCATCTGTAAAATGGGGGTGACGATAAGAATATGTACCTCACAGAGGTGCTGTGAGCATGAGTTAATACATTTAAAGCTTGCTTAGGACCATGCCTGGCCTGCAGTAAATGCTCAGTATGTACTGGCTTTCATAATTACAAATATTTCTCCATATGTATATGTATATTTTTGAGAGACAGCTGGTATCCCTCAGCCTCCAAACCCTCCCTACTTGCTACCCAGACATGGAACCCTCCCTACTCGTCAAACCAAACATATTTGAAACAAGGCTGTTTTCCCTCATTATCCAACCTCTCCCTACTCAACATCAAAAACATGGGAACCTGGGGCTGGCCTGGCGGCATGGTGGTTACGTTCACAGGCTCTGCTTCAGTGGCCTGGGGTTCACAGGTTCGGATCCCGGGCGCCGACCTACACGCTGCTCATCAAGCCATGCTGCTGTGGTGTCCCACACACAAAACAGAGGAAGACTGGCATAGACGTTGGCTCAGCGACAATCTTCCTCACCAAAAATAAAATGCAGGAACCAAATATATTCAGGTAAATTGTCCAAACTCTCACTATCCAAATACAGAAACTGAATGGATTTGGATACATTTTTGAGGAAGAACTGTATCCCTCACTCTCTGAGCTTTCCTTACTCACCAGGCAAAATGCAGAAACCAAATCTGTTTACACAACACAGTACCCTTACTATCTCAACTTTTGCCACTGGAGCTCAGGAGAATGAGTAGATTTGAATATATATATATATATATATATATATATATATATATATATGTATGTATATTTTTTTTTTAAGAAAGATTAACCCTGAGCTAACATCTGCTGTCAATCCTCCTTTTTTTTTTTTTTGCTGAGGAAGACTGGCCCTGAGCTAACATCTGTGCCCATCCTCCTCTACTTTACATGTGGGACACCTGTGACAGGATGGCTTGATAAGCAGTACATAGATCTGCACCTGGGATCCAAACTAGCGAACCCTGGGCCACCAAAGCAGAACATGAGAACTTAACCACTGCACCACCAGGCCGGCCCTAAATACATTTTTGAGTTACAGCCATTATCCCTCATTATCTGAACTCTCCCTACTCACTGTGTAAAATGCAAAATCAAAATACCTTCAGATAACTTGGTATCTTTCACCGTCTGAACTATCTGAACTCTCCTACTCAGAACTTGGGTACCAAATACATTGTGACAGTGAGGGATGCTTGTGTTGTTATTAATAGATTTGGATAAATGTTTTAGATAAATGAGACAGGTCTGGGATCTCATTATTCAAACTCTCACTACTCTCTATGAGAAATGCAGGAACAAAACATAATTGAATAATGTGTTTCCTCCTCGCTAGTCAAATTCTCCCTGTCCACCTCAGAATCAAGGAGATTCAGACAGTGAGACAATCTCGTATTATCCTTGTTGTTGTTATTGTCACTACTGGATGGGCGTGATTCTTACATGCAGTGACACTCCCCCTCCCCCCGACCCCAGATCTGTCCCACAGAGGCGGGATGGACTTAGCACCAAGATTTGTATTGCTTCCTGCTGAGAGAAGGGGGATAAACCTCGCCCCCATCCCACCCCACCAAGCCCTGAAGTCTCCAGCCTAGAATGGGGTTTTTCCAGGCCAGGAAAGCAGGGAGCACGCACCCAGGATCAAGAGCAGGAGATGGGGGTAATGTGACCTAGAAGATTCACACGTAGCCGAGTCCTCCACCCCCACATATTTGCTCACCACCCCCGCCCCCGGGGACATGGGGTAGCCCCCAACCTAGCGAGGCGGAAACATGACCCAGACCTCGCAGACTCCCAGGGAGTCACTGAATAATTTAGGGTGTTCTTTCACACCCGGGGAGGGCGGGGGGCACAAGAACAGCTCCATGCCCTCCTGGGGCAGGGAGAGACATGCAGGCTCTGTGTGAGATCACCGGGGGGGGGGGGGGCGGCGGGGGGAACACACAAAAAACCCTCAGCCACAGAGGGCCCATAAAGCTACTCGCTCTTGCTCATGCTAAGAGCAGCATTTAGAATGAACTTCAGAGATAATGAGAACAGCGGAACCGCCAAATTCAGGGGCAGGGTACAACGGGACCCCTGTCCTTCTGGGCTCAGAGGAGATGGAAAGTGGGCGTTAGGAAGGAGGGAACTCTGAACAGAGTGGGGGGATATGGGAAGGAGTAGGACAGGGGCCTGGGGTTGGGACGGAACGAAGGGACAGGACAGGAAGGAGTGTAGGGGACAAGACAGTGTCAGACTTGTCGTAGGATGGAGGTCAGGAGGCAGGACAGAGAAGGAGCCAGGACACTGGCCAGGGGATGGGATGGAGTGAGGTTCGGGACAAGAGTCAGAGAAAAAGTAGGGGACAGCAGAGGACAAAAGAGCAGGGCACGGGTCAGGGTCAGTATAGAACAGTAGTCAGAACATGTGACCCAGAACAGGTCAAGACAGGGGTCAAGGGAGGGGATAGGGAAAAGAGCAGGTTCAGGATGGAGGTAAGGCACAGGAAAAGATAGGGACAGAATGAGGATAGAAATGAGGACAGTGATGGGACAAGAGAAGATGGGGAAACAGCACAGAGTTGGGGGCAGGAGATGGGGCACCATCTAAAGGTGGTGAGCCAGGACAGAGATCAGGAGCTGGGAAGGGGGCCGGGGGACAGCACAGGGTGGGATGAAAGTACAGAAGTCAGAGGTCAGGAATTAGAACAGCTCTGGATCAGACTTCGGTTAGGGGGACAAGACATGACTGGGAAGGGGTTCAGGGACTGGACCAGAGTTTAGGGAACAGACAGGTCAAGCATCAGGACAGAAACTGGTGTGATAAGGACAAGGCAAGATGAGCTTCAGAGATGGAACAGGGTCAGGCAAAGATCTGTGATCAGGCTAAGGATCCTGAGACCAGAACTGGATGGGGTTTGGGGTCAGGACTGAGTGTAGGACAAAACAGGGGTTGAGGATCACGCCAGGCCAGAATATGGTTAGGTCAGGGGTCAGACCAGAAGTCCTGGAGCCAAGACTGGCCAGGGCTCGAGGCTAAAACAAGATGTAGTCAGGTCAGCAGGGGTCCCGAGTGAGACCACGGGGTCAGAGGTCGCGGGTGCGCGCGCGGGTTCGGCCCCCATCGGCGTTTCCGGGCCCTCACCCCGCCCTGTCTCCTCCCTTCTTCCCGTGGCGGGCGTTACTCACCGAGGGTCCCCGCCGCGGTGGAGGCGGGGTCGGTGGAGGCCGGGACGGAGGTGGGCGCGCCGCGCCCTCGCTGCCCCCGCTCGTCCCCGGGCTCGCGCCTACTCCGCCCTGCCCGTGGGCCGCGGTCGGCCGCGCCACTGTTAGCTGTGGGGGCCAGACGGGGGGCGCGGGGAGGGTGGGAGAGGAGAGCCGGCTCGGCCGCGGGCGGTGGACCCCGGCCCCCCACCTTCAACTCGGGTCCGTCCGCTCCCGGCGGCACCGCCGCCGCCGCCGCCGCCGCGGAGCGCGAGCCTGGGGTGGGGGATGAGGGGGAACAGGGGCGGGGCGCGAGACCACAGCAGCGGCGAAGCCCGAGTGCGCAGGCGCCAGTTCGGGTCTTCGATTTTCCTGCCCTGGGAGCGCCAGGAGCGAACCAGCTGGGAGCGCGTGCGCACACGCTTTCTCGAGGGTGGCGGAGCGCCCCCTACCGAGGCCACGCCCCCTCAGTGATCAGACTGGCACCCCTCAACCTCCAACAGAACCCCAAAAATACCCCGAACTGCCTTCTGTCAGCTGCCGCCACACCTGTAAATTCCCCCAACTACCCTCCATGCCCCAAATGCACCCCAAACAACCATCATCCCCCAACTTGTATCCCCAAATTATTGTCCGTTGATCCCAAGCAGTACCCCTAATCCATCCTCCATGGACACCCAAGCTGTACGAATAAACTAGCCTCCACTACCTCCAAGTAGTTCCCCCAAACCATCTGCAATCAGCCCTGAAACCGTTCACCTCCAAAGAGCACTTCCAAATCACCCTCTGTCTACTCCCAATATGCACCCAAAACACCCTCCACTGACCCCGAACCACTCCCCATGTACCATCTTAACCATACTCTATGGATACCCAAATGGTTCTCCAAGAGCCCTCAACACCGCCCCAAACATTCTCAACCACCTTTGGCGTGGCCCCCACCTACGCCCCAAATCAATTCCAACAGTCACCTGCTCTACCTCCAAACCGTGTTCCATGAACCCCCCCACCAAAGCTTCCATGACCAACCCCACCCCCTGCAAAACTACCTTCCAACAGCCCCTATCACTGTCCCGTATACTCCCAACTACTCAATGTGTGATCCTCCAACTGCACCTCAGACTACCCTCCAACACCTCTCCACCGCTGAACCACGCTCCACTGATCCAAACTCCATCCCCAAAGCACCGGCCAACAGTCCTCAACTGTACCTCCAAATAACCCCCAACTGAACCCACAAATCATACTCCAGTGGCCCAAAATGTGTCCCTCAAACCCTCCAATGACTCTTACCTTCACCCCAAATCATACTTCAGTGGCCCAAATATATTACAAAGCACCCTCCAATGATCTTTTCTTAAAACAACTTAATTGAGACATAATTTACATACTGTAAAAGTCACCCATTTTAAGCATGCAATTCAATTATTTTAGTAAATTTACCAAAGTGTGCAACAACCATCATAATCCAGTTTTAGAGCATTTTCATCCTCCCAGTAAGATCCTCATGCCTGAATACAGTTAGTCCCCATTCCCATTCCCAGCCCCAGGTGAACACTAATCTACTTTCTGTCTCTATAGATTTGCCTTTTCTGGGCACTTCATATAAATGCAGTATGTGGACTTTTGGTGTTTGGCTTCTTTCACTGAGCATAATCAGCCATGTAGTAGCATGTATCAGTGGTTCTTTTTACTGCTGAATAGTATTCCATCCAATGATCTTTAACTACTCCCCAAAAAACTCACTAATAGCTCCCCAACTATAGCTCATAATAGCCCTCTGACACCCAGACCTCAAAACAGGCCCCCAAACAGCATCCCAGACTATACCCACCAGCCCTCAATTATATCCCAAAACCACGCTATTGATCCTCAAACTTCATCACTAAACTACCCTTCCAGAGCCTCACCTTCATCCCCAAACCTCCTTCTAACAGCCCCCACTCTACCCTCAAACTGCCCTTTAACTCCCAACAATATCCCCAAAGTGCCCTTTCAAGGATGCCCAGCTCTAACCCCAAACTACTCTCAATTACAAACCTCACCCCTAAAATTCCCCTTCCAAGAGCCCCCATCTCTACCTCTAAATAACCCTTAACTGCCTTCCCTTTGTCCCACAGCTGCAGCCCCAAACTATACCTCCAAATCACTCTTCAATGACTACTATACCGAACTTGTCTTCAATTACATGCAACTACAC